TAAAGGACAACTCACTGACATCTTTTTAAAAGAGAGAGAGAGCATCATCCCATGTTTCCATCTCCAAAGAGTCCTTCCTTGATATACTGTAGTTCTTAAAGTCTCCCCTTTTATGTACTGCCTTTTGTTCCTGGCCAATTCCTCTCAATCTTATTTTAATAGCTAGCTACTTTGAGTCTATCTGAAACAATAGATGTGGGTGCAAAGGCACCTATTCTGATAACTGCCTGGCCTGGTTCCCTTGACTAGCAATGAGAAAGGCTCTAGGAGGGACCAGCAGTTGGCGTAATGGCTATGTCGCTGGACTCCCATGCAGTCAACTGTGGTTCAGGTGCTGAACCCGGCAGCTTATACTCATGCCAGGTGCATGTGCATGCATGCCCAAGATCCTGAGAGGAGAATGGAGAAGGGTTTGCAACATGGTCATCCCCTCTGGGCGGCGATTTCTTGCTTTCTGTCTTTCTCTGTCTTTCTGGTGAGCTGGTGAGCGCATGCACCTGATAGCAAAAATTTCTCCAAAAAAAAAGAAAGAAAGAAAGAAAAGAAAAGTTCTAGGAAACAGTTTTAGCTCCTGCTGTTTAGGGTATAGAAGCAGTTGGCTTCTCCAGTACTGGTAGAACCTAATTCTTGGTCTCTGCAAGTATCTTAAGTCTGTGAGCTAAGTAATTATCTTATTTTTAGAAATTAAAAATAACATGGGACCAGCAGTTAGTGTAATGGTTATGTCGCTGGACTCCCATGTAGTCGACCACAGTTCGAGTCTCGGACCCAGTGGCTTAAACTAACGACGGGCGCGTGTGCGTTCCTGCCCAAGATCCTGAGAGGATAATAGAGGAGAAGGGATTGCAGTGTGGCCATCCCCCTTGGGGGCTGATTTCTCACTTCCTATCTCTCTGTCTCTCTCTGTATTTCTGGCGAGTGCACATGCCCTATAGCAAAAACCTTTCTGGAAAAATAAAAAGTTAAAAATAACCCTAACAAACCATGATCACATTAAACATTTTAATGGGTTTTAAAATTTAAAGAGAGTGAATCTTCCCAAAACGTTCCCACATGCTTCCTCAAATAAAAAGCTAGTTGGTTCTCTTGGACATATTCATGTATACTTCTTATGCATAAATTTGGTCATCAGCTTGAGTCTACCCCTCCAGGTTACTCTTGTCTATTGACATCCTGGTCAGGCATTTGCATTCAGCAGAGGTATAACATTTAGCATCCGTGTAGATAATCCATATTCATCTTACCATTCAGACTTCAGGGTTATATACAGACTGCTACCTATATAGAATTGCATCCTCCAGCTGTAGCTCATCCTTATAAATCTCCCTCTATCTCCCTTTTATGAACTTATTTATATTGTAATTTCTGACTCACATGTAATCATTGTACATTTTTGTGGGGGTACATATGGTTTTTCAAAGCATGCATATAGTGTGCAATAATCAAATCAAGCATATACTCATATTCTTCATCTTCAGCATTGAACCTTTTATTATGTTGTTATGCAAATGTGATAATATTATAGTACTACTAGGATTTTTGGGCATATATTGAATTATCAATGAAATATTTTACTTTCCTTTTTTTCTCCCTTTTAGATTGGTTCTTTCACTCGTCTGAGTTGTTATTCAGGACTTCTTAAGTCATTCTTCTCAAAACAAGACTGTAACACATCTCCTCTTGCTCTCAGCTGTCATGTTATACTTTATAGAGAAAACAGAAGGTATCTGAAGGGAAAACCTCGATTTCCTACTTTTGCTGCATCTTTTCATTAAATTTTTTCTGGAGAAAAACTTAGCTCACTCTCTGAGATAATCTTTTGTATAAGGCTAATTTCTCAAGTACAATCCACTTTCTCATGCTTAAGTCTCTCTAAACCTAAAATAATAACTTCAAAATTCCTGAGGTTCCTCAAAAAATAATAAAAAATATGGTGCAGTAACCTTATGATTGACTATATGATACATCAATCCTACTTCTGTGTGTATATGCAAAAGAATTGAAAGTAAGGTCTTGAAGTGACATCTTGCAAACCCACAATCCATAGCATTATTCACAATAGCTAAAAGTTGAAACAATGGAAGTGTGATAAATTATGGATAAACAGGATATTTATGTACAATGGGATATCATTCAGCTTTAAAAAGAAATATTGTCATGTGCTATAATGTGAATGAATATCAAGAGCATTATACTAAGTGAAATGAGCCAGTCATAGAAGAAAAAAAAAAAGTATGATTCCACTTTATGCAATATCTGATATAGTCAAATTCACAGAAATAGAAAATAGAATGGTGGTTAACAGGGGTTGAAGGAGGTGAAAATAGTGAATTGTTTAATAAGTGTAAAGTTTTACTTTTGCAAAATTAAAAAGTTCTTGAAATCTACAACACAACAATGTGAATAGGTGTACTTAACACTACTGAACTGTGTACATAATACAGTTAAAATGGCAAATTTTTATGTTATCTGTTTTTTACCACAATTAAAAAAAAATCCTTAGACCTCATGTCTCTTCCTACCATAAGTCTTTGGAGGAACTTTCTATGGTCGCTATTATCTTTTCTTTACCTCCCACTCTCTCTTCAACCCACTGCTATCTGACCTCTACCCTCAGTATTCCACTAAAACTACTCTTGCCAGGACCAACAGAGGGCGTAATGGTTATGTCTCTGGGCTCCCAAGTAGTCCACCTTGGTTTCAGTGCCATATTTGGCAGCTTAAAACTCACGTGCATGGGACCAGCAGTTGGCTGGACTCCCACGTAGTCGATCGTACGTCTTGGACCGGTGGCTTAAACTCATGCCTGGCGTGTGTGCGCACGTGCCCAAAAATCCTGAAAGGAGAATGGAGAAGGGATTGTTGGGTGACCATCCCCCCACCCGGGGGGGGGGGATTTCTCACTTTCTCTCTGTCTCTGTCTTTCTGGTGAGCAGGACAAGCCCTACAGCAAAAACCTTACAAACAAACAAACAAACAACTCACATATGTGTGTGTGCTAAATCCCTAGAGGAGAATGGAGGAAAAGAATCCCCCTTGGGGAGTGATTTCTCACTTTCTGTCTCTCTCTCTCTCTCTCTCAAGTGCATGTGCCCTATAGTAAAAAATCTCTCTTAAAAAGAAGCAAACAAAAACTACTTTTGCCAAGGTTGTCAATAGCCTCTCGGTCTTTTGGGCCTTAGTGTACTCAATTACAAATATTGGGCTCTGCTCACCTTCAATAAAAAGTGTTTTTTTTCCCCTACCCTTTGGCTTCTGTGAGCCTCTGCCTTGTTCTTTGCTGATATCTCACTGACAACTCTTTTTATTTTTTCTTCCTGACTTTTCTTCTTCATAACTGTTGTTGTCCTTGGTTTGCTGCTCTTTTTGTCTTTACAGTTTTCTATAGCTTCCTTGGGAAAATTCAGCTAAACCTGTAGTACCAGTTGTCAAATTTTTATCTCTGATCAAATATCCTTCTGCCTGGTCAATTCTATCTGAATGTCCTATAGGCTCTTCAAACTAAGTTCCTCAAATTAAACTCATCATTCCTCTTCCTGGGTTTTCTAGCTCAGTAACATTCATCCTTAAAATTCTGTTCTGAAATCTGGAAGTCCTAAATCTCTCTTATCTTCTATATCTAATGAATCAAAATGTCCTATCAATCCTGAGCCTTATTAATTCTTAAAATTCATCTCAAGGGGCCAGCATGTGGGGTAGCTAGACTCCCACATCATCAAGTGCAGTTCGAGATCCAGATCTGGTGGCTTCAAACTCCTGCCAGGTGCACGTTCATGAGTGCCTGAGAGGAGAATGAAGGAGAAAGCATTGTGGCAAAGCCATCCCCCTTGGGGGTGATTTCTTGCTTTCTGTCTCTCTGTCTCTCCCTGTCTCTCCAATGAGCACACACACCTTAAAGCAAAAATCTCTCAAAGATAAAATAAAACAAACAAAATACTTCACCTCAACTGTCACTACCTTGGTTTGGGTTATAATCACCTAGTGTCTTCTCTCTGCCTCCAATTTTGTTTTCCTCAAAATAATATTCCACATCACGTTAGAGTGGCCTTAAAACTTAAGTTTGATTGTGACGATAGCCTAGTTAAAAATCTTTCAGTAGCTTACCATTGCTTTTAGGGTAAACTCTCAACTCCTTAAAATTCAGTATAAAAATGCACTCTGCTCCCTCAAAAGTCTATAGATGACTACAATCTTGCTCCAGCTATACTTTTTTTTAATTGCAATTTCCAGCCAGGTGTCACGATATTTAGCTCCTAAATCCTTTTGCATATGCTGTTACCTCTGCCTGGAGT